AAAGAATCTAACATCATATATTATAACCCTAGGTCAGTATTACAGATAAAACCCAAACCTATTGTTAGACTCCCATTTCTCACTCTAGCTTTCTCTCTTATTATAATGATTTCAATTTCCAGTTGCAGCTGTAGTCATTCATTTGCCTTTAGAATAAGTATAAAGCTGAAATAGCTTCCAAAATAGAAACTAAAAGCTTTGGATCTTGATTTAGGTAAATCAACTACAGAAAGATATTTTTAAGACAATTTGAATATTAAGAATTTTGATAATTTTTTACGTGCAACTGTATTGTTGTTACTTTTTTTTTTGGAGACACAGTCTTACTCTGTGACCCAGGCTAGAGTGCAGTGCACAATCTAGGCTCACTGCAACCTCCGCCTCCCGGCTTCAAGCGATTCTTGTGCCTCAGCCTCCCGGGTAGCTGGGATTACAGGTGCCTGACACCAGACCCAGCTAATTTTTGTATTTTTAGTAGAGGCAGGGTTTTGCCATGTTAGCCAGGCTGGTCTTGAACTCCTGACCTTAGGTGATCCACCCACCTTGGCCTCCCAAAGTGCTGGCATTACAGGCGTGATGTTACTTTTTTAAAAAGGAAGTCTTTATTATAAATTCTGAAATATTTACAAGTAAAACATTGTGGTATCTTAGATTTGATTCAACATATTCCAACATTTTGGTGAAGGGAAATGCAAAATGTTGATAATTACCAAAACTGGATAATAAGTACATAGGGGCTTATTATCCTATTTTTTCTACTTTTGTGTGAAGCTTGAAAACTTCTATAATAAAAAGTAAAAAGAAAAAAAATCCATTAAAAACTGCTACAAAGAGGTCACTCTAAGAGAAGTCTAATTCAAAAAATGTTTTCAATAGTGAATAGATTTTTCTCTAAAATAAGTTGTAAGCCATACAACCACAAACTTCCTTAAAACAACATCATCATAATATTCGTGAGCAACACAGCATTTCAATTGTCTTATTTTTTTATTTTTTATTTTTTAATGAGCCAGAATCTTGCGCTGTCGTCCAGGCTGGAGTGCAGTGGTGTAATCTCGGCTCACTGCAACCTCTGCCTCCTGGGTTCAAGCAATTCTCCTGCCTCAGCCTCGGGAGTAGCTGGGACTACAGGTGCGTGCCACTGTGCCTGGCTAACTTTTGTATTTTTAGTAGAGATGGGGTTTCACCATATTGGCCAGGCTGGTCTCGAACTCCTGACCTTGTGATCTGCCCACCTCGGCCTCCCAAAGTGTTTGGAATTACAGATGTGAGCCACTGTGCCCGGCCAATTGTCTTACATGATTTGTTCTAGAATTAAAAAGAGCTACATTCCTAAAAGCATAAGAAGTAAAAACACTTTATAGCTTTTTAAAATTATTATTGATTTGAAGTTAGGAGAACTTTTCCTTGAAAAGTGGAGAATAATAAGGGTTCATATTATAAACTTACTATGTGTCAGGCACTGATTGTAATTTATGAACTCAGGCTACTCTTCAAAATTACCCATTGCCATAGGTATTGCTGATCTTCCCAATAAGAAAACGACAGTACTGAGAAGTTGCATAATTTGCCCAACATTGTACTGTTGGTTAACAGCAAAGCTGGGACTCAAACACAGGGCATCTGGCTCCCATGTCTGATCCCTTAGTCACTGAGCTGTGTCACTATCCATGGGAAGAGCATCTTTTGTAGAGCTGTTCTTTGTTTAGACTTTGGGGACCCAATGTCTTTTATTCTTAGAAAAATAAAGCAACTCTTACTCCCTTTGACATCAGCATATTCCTTTTATTTTGTCATGCACTTCAAATCTATTACTCCCACCACAGTCATATTAGCCCTTTAATGTTCAGACATATTTATTACAGATGTTTATTTATGGCATGATTTCAAATAACAGAAAACATTAGAGTAAGCTCTTCTGCTTGATTTAAACCAGGATAATTTTGAGAAACAGCTCTGATACTGTAGTAGTTGATAATGACATCTATTTTATGTGAGTGTCAGCTTCTGGGCAATGACCTTACACAAATTGCCCTAGTTACCTGATTTTCTCAAAAGGTCTTTTGCAAATTCTTTGCAGCCTAGCCAGTTGATATCACTGCTTCCATACTGCCATATTGCCAAGGTTAATAAAGGAGTCTCTCTCTCTCTCTCTCATTTCTGACACATTGCTTTATATGAAATAGTTTTTATTGTCTTTTTTATTATTTTTATTATTTTTAGTTTTGAGACGGAGTTTTGCTCTTGTTGCCCAGGTTGGAGTGCAATGGTACAATCTCAGTTCACCAAAACCTCCGCCTCCCGGGTTCAAGTGATTCTCCTGCCTCAGCCTCCTGAGTAGCTGGGATTACAAGCATGTGCCACCACGCCTGGCTAATTTTGTATTTTTAGTAGAGATGGGGTTTCTCCATGTTGGTCAGGCTGGTCTCAAACTCTTAACCTCAGGTGATCAGCCCGCCTCGGCCTCCCAAAGTGCTGGGATTACAGGCATGAGCCACCGTGCCCAGCCTAAGAAATAGTTTTTAAAGGTCCATTTACCTATAGCCATATCATAATAGTCTTTGAATATGTGAGTTTAATTTGGGGGGACTGTTAATAGCTATTTCTAGAACGAAATTAGGGTGAGTCTACATGGGGCTTCAAATTGACTTAACTGAATTGGTCATTGAACTTATGAACAGAATGCCTCGAACAGAAAAAAACACGAGTTTTTTCACTGAATTTTTGAAAAATGATTTCTTAGAATTGACAAAACTGATTTATTATTTTCACCCATAGAAACACTTTCACCTGAATGAAACACTTTCCAATTTGGAGGAAATTATATTTTAAGACAAAGGGAATACTGTCATATAATTTAGGGGTTACATTTATTACTCTAGGGCAGCAGTTACTGACAAGATGCCTTGACAACTCTATAATTTGAAGTTATCAGTCCATATACATGTAATAAATGCTGTATGTCTTCATCCCTCCCTGTTACCTGATATTACCTATATATACCTTCTATGCAACAGAGAGTTTTCTATATACAGATCTACCAGAATTTCTCTAGGACCCTAGAAAATGGAGTCTGACCAATATTTCTTTAAAAATAAAGGAGAAAGGAGCAAAGAAAGAAATGCAGAAACAAGAAAGAGAGAGAAAGCCAACAAAAAGTAACAGAAATAAAGAGTAGAGTGTTTTATTTTTTTCCAAAATAGCGATTCTCAACCTGGCTGTGTATTAGAACCTCCTGGAGAGTATTTGAAAAATACTGATACCTGGTCCTCAAGCCCAGAGATCAACTGGGTGTGGTTACTTTGCTATTGATGAGAAACATTTAAACAGTAAAGGAGAGCCAGCTAGACTTGCAGTATTGGAGACATTCTCTACTCTGTGCTTCCTGATTGTCTCATCATAAGTAAAGTACAACTCAAGTAACTTCTGATTTTGAGTATGATGGTAGAGGGGAAACGGGAATGGAGCATAAAGACCTAGCTTGTTCATTCATTATTCATTCAGCTGACCAACAAATACTTATGTGGTGCCTATTCTTTGGCAGATATAGTATTGAGTTCTGGGGATGCAGTGGCAAACATATGGATTCAAGAAGCATGACAGGGCCCTGTCTGAAATCGTGTGTGTGTGTGTGTGTGTGTGTAAATTTTTTGTAGAGACAGGATCTCACTTTGTTGTCCAGGCTGGTCTTGAACTCCTGGCTTCAAGTGATCCTCCTGCCTTGGCCTCCCAAAGTGCTGGAATTACAGGCAGAAGCTACCATGACCAGCCTAGGGCCTCAAGTTTTAACCTGTGTTAATGCCAAGATCAATTAGGTTGGTAGGAAGCAAGTAAGTGGAGAAGATGAAATTACCTTAAGGAACAAGTCAGTTTACTAGCTAATTTTGTTCATGGAATAAAAACATTTTGGCACTTAAATGGACTCAAGAGATTGTCGATTTTTGTTTTACAAATGAGTAATTTTAAACTCAGGGTGTTAAGTAACTAGCCTCTGATCATACAGTTAATTCAGGACAGAGGTTTAGAACCTACATGGCTATTTTATAATACTGTCTACATTCAAGTAAAAACCTTCTCAGCAGATTTTTCTTTTTATTTTAAGTTTCTAAAAGAAAATAGTCCCCCAGAAAGAGCCTTTGTAAAAGAAAAGGATCAACTTCTTCCCCTGTTGAGCTAATCCTAGTGTGAAATTAACTAGCAGCACCACTAGTCGATTCCACAAGTCAATTCCACACTGCTGCCCTGTAGGGAGAGAAATTACAAAAAAGGAGAGTAGGTCTTGGTCCATTTCCTCCCTAACTACAGTTGTTCTAAGGTCAAACACTCAGAACATTAAAGGAAATGGCGAGAAAGGACTATTGTGATATGAGGAGGGAGGATCTGAGATGGGAAGACCTAAAAATTAAACCAAAGAGAACAATTGTAATAAAGAATTCGTCGTACCTTCCCACACCATATTTGAGGTCTAATCTACAATATGGAAAGTGCATTCAGACATCTTCCTAGTGATAAGGGAAATGCATATCTACACCATAATGAGATTCTGTTTTATACCCATTTGTGTAGAAATTTTAAGAAATCTGCCAATATCAAGTGATGAGAGGATCTCTCATAAACGGCTGGTGGAAGCGTAAATTGGTATAGCCACTTTGGAAAGCTGTTTGGCTCATTCATATACTCTACAACCAAGTAATTCCAATGCTAGATATAAATCCTTGCTATGTGCACCTGGAGGCATTTGTAAACCTGTTCATGGCAGCATTGTTGTAATAGAAAACACCCCGGAGCAATCCCAATGTCCACTGACAGGAGAGTGGATGAAGAGTAGTATAGTCACACAATGGATACTATACAATAGTCAAAACAAATGAACTGCCACTATGTATGTATGATTTGGGTGAATCTCAGCAAAATAATGTTGAATAAATTAAAAAGGCCACAGAAAATTACATCTATCATGAAACTTCACTTTTAACTTAAAACTAACAAACCACTATTAAATGACATATTTTAGGAATATATATATTATTAAATTATATTTTTGAAAAGCGATGGGAATGACAAATACAAAATTCAGGATAAAGATAACTTTAGTTTGGTAAGTAAGGGGAAAGGGATGGAGAAAGGTCACATAGATAGAAGTAAGCTATGATTAATATTCTAGTTCTTGTGTTAGTGGCAAGTTCACTTTATGTATTAAATTATAAAAAGATTAATAGATAATTGTATCAGTAATTTACTGCAGCATAATAAGTTACCTAATTTAGCAACTTAAATATTTGTTATTTCACATAGTTTCTAGGGTCAGGACTCTGGGTGCTTTTGGCTTAGGGTCTCTCAGGAGGTAATCGTGAAGCTGTCAATCACAGATGCAGTCTCTGAAGGAGCTAGAGAATCCATTTTCAAGAAGGCTCATTCATGTGGCTGTTGGTATGAGGCTCAGTTCCTCACTACAGGGCTACTCCTGAGATGGTTTCCCTGCAGTGCAAGCAGAGAGAGAGAGAGAGAGAGAGAGAGAGAGAGAGAGAGAGAGAGAGAGAGAAAGAGAGCAAGAGAGAAAGAATGTGTAAAAAAAATGCCCAAGATGGAAGCCACAATGTCTTTTATAAAGCTAATATCAGAAGTGACATGCCATCATTTCTGCTAGATGCTATTGATCACACAAACCAACCCTGGAACAATGTGGAAGGGGACTCAGGATGTGACTATCAGGAGGCAGGGATCATTGGGCACCATCTTGGAATCTGGCTACCACCATGATACAATCAAAAAGAACAATGCATGGACCAATGATGAAATTTTGTTAAGAAGCAATTATGTATACCTGAGGTTGGAAAATAAGTGAAAAAATAAACAAAGTGTATTTAGGTTTTTTGTTTTGTTTTGTTTTGTTTGAGACAGAGTCTTGCTCTGTCGCCCAGGCTGGAGTGCAGTGGCACGATCTCAGCTCACTGCAAGCCCTGCCTCCCGGGTTCACGGCATTCTCCTGCCTCAGCCCCCAAGCAGCTGGGACCTGTAGTCACCCACCACCACGCCCGGCTAATTTTTTGTATTTTTAGTAGAGATGGAGTTTCACTGTGCTAGCCAGGATGGTCTCGATCTCCTGACCTCGTGATCTGCCCACCTTGGCCTCCCAAAGTGCTGGGATTACAGGCGTGATTCACTGTGCTCTGCCAAAGTGCATTTAGTTTTGAAGGCAACAGAATACAGGGGAATGAATGAGATGAGTTAGATTTAATTCTGGCTCTACCACTTTCCAGCTTTACGATTTGGGGCAAATCATCTGACTTATTTCCATTTGTAGAATAGTGATGAGGATATTTATTTGTCTTTTAAATTTTTTCATTATGAAAATATTCAAAAGGCCGGGCGCGGTGGCTCAAGCCTGTAACCCCAGCACTTTGGGAGGCCGAGACGGCGGATCATGAGGTCAGGAGATCGAGACCATCCTGGCTAACACGCTGAAACCTCGTCTCTACTAAAAAATACAAAAAAGTAGCCGGGCGAGGTGGCGGGCGCCTGTAGTCCCAGCTACTCGGGAGGCTGAGGCAGGAGAATGGCATGAACCCGGGAGGCAGAGCTTGCAGTGAGCTGAGATCCGGCCACTGCATTCCAGCCTGGGCGACAGAGCGAGACTCCGTCTCAAAAAAAAAAAAAAAGAAAATATTCAAAAATACACACAACAGAAAAGTATAATGAATACCATATGCCCATAATCTAGAACAACTTTTTAGATTTTAACATACTTCTTTCATCTATTTTTCCCTTCCTGAAGTGTCTTAAATCAAATTCCTGGCACTGTTATTTTATCCCTATATACATTAGTATCCATCACTTTAAAATATGAACATTTTCTTATAGACTCACATGTAAAATTAACAAGTCTTTTGCAATATCTAGTATATCAAAACTATATTCAAATTTCTTTGAGTGTCTCGAAACTTACATTTAACAGTTAGTTAGAATGAGAATCCAAACAAGGTCTACACATTACACTTGGTTTGCTTTACCTCTTAAAATCTTTCAATCGGCCAGGTGCAGTGGCTTAAGCCTGTAATCCCAGCATTTGGGGAGGTTGAGAAGGGCAGATCATGAGGTCAGGAGATGGAGACCATCCTGGCTAACACAGTGAAACCCTGTCTTTACTAAAAAAATACAAAAAACTAGCCGAGTGTGGTGGCAGGCACCTGTAGTCCCAGCTACTTGGGAGGCTGAGGCAGGAGAATGGCATAAACCCGGGAGGCGGAGCTTGCAGTGAGCTGAGATCCGGCCACTGCACTCCAGCCTGGGCGACAGAGCGAGACTCTGTCTCAAAAAAAAAAAAAATCTTTCAATCTAGGGGAGTCCCTTTACTCCCTTCCTCCTCCCTTGTCCTGTTGAAGAGACCCAGGCAGTTGGCTTGCAGACCATCCCACAGGCTGAATTTGTCCATTGGCTTCCTTGTGATGCCATTTTACTTATTTCTACCTCTCCTATGTTTCTGTTAGTCCTGAAGACTTGATGAGATTTAGATTCAACTGTTTAAGCTAAAATATTTCTTAGGTGGTGGTATGTACTTCATAAAGCACCACAGGAGGAGGCACATATGGGTGGACTCCCCACTCGTAGTGACACTGAGATTGGTTAATAGTTGCAGGTGGTGTTAGCCTGAGACCTTCATTGCAGGGTTCCCCATCAGCCTCACATTTTGATAATTGTTGCCTAAATCAACTAATTCATGAGGAATTGTAAAATGGTGATTTCCTGATTCTATCACTTCTCTTTTATTTGATGTAATTATTTTTATAAAGTAGAACTTTCCTTCATCGATCTTGGACATCTGGTTACCCCATTAGAAGTGGCTTGTTCCCAGTTTCACATCCTCTCAGCCCACCTTTTACTAAGGCCATTGATGCAGCAACCTGCTTCCTGCAGGTGTAACCTGAGAGCACCTCTCCTCATCTGCATCACATACATCTCATTTTCTGCCCCTGAGTTCCTCTGACACTACAAAGGAGGGACATTTGCCTAGCACTCACACATGACAGCTTAGAAGTATGAGGGGGCTCAGGCCCCAAGGAGGAAACTTGGACCAATGGGAGAAAGGAGCTGATAAATAACTGCTATCTTGCATCAAGCTGACAATTATGAAGTATATTCTACATGGCTCAAGGCCTCATTGCCCACAGTGATGACAAACTAGATAACACCCTTGTACTGACTCTCTCTGTTTCACTCTCCCTAGTCATCCACTTCTGCTTCCTGAGATCACTGTCCAAAACAAACTACCTAAAAGTAAGCCCTTGTCTCAGGTTCAACTTTCAAGGGGGTAAGCCAGGCTAAGACATCACAAAATATAATTCACACAGGAAAGGAAGGATAAATGCTCAGTTCTTTCTTGACATTGCAAATATTCAGAATGTTGTCCCAGTTATATGTAATAATAAACTCATCGATTTATATGTAATCAATGAATTCCAATCAGTTGTAGTTCTTACTTTTTTGGGTGCTCAGATTGTCCTCTTCTCAGCCAGTGGGAGCTCCTTTATGCTGATCCCTTTGTGCCTTTGACCTGTCCCTTTGGACTTTAATAGCTTTCTTGACTTCTGGCACAAGATGTTCAAGGTTCATCATATACATGTCTTGCCCCAGACAAAAATCTGCCATTCCTCCAAAGAGCCTCATTTCTTTTCAAAGGAAATGATGTTTTTTGAAAGTAAAATGTGGCTGGGCGTGGTGGCTCACGCCTGTAATCCCAGCACTTTGGGAGGTTGAGGCAGGTGGATCACCTGAGCTCAGGAGTTCGAGACCAGTCTGGCCAACATAGCAAAATCCTGTCTCTACTAAAAATATAAAAAACTAGCTGGATGTGGTGGCATGCACCAGTAGTCCCAGCTACTCGGGCGGCTGAGGCATGAGAATCGCTTGAACTCAGGAGGTGGAGGTTGTGGTGAGCTGAAATTGCACCACTGCACTCCAGCCTGGGTGACAGAGCGAGACTCTGTCTCAAAAAAAAAAAAAAAAAGTGAATGCTAAAGGTGCTTATTATTACAAGATTGTCATTACTTCTAGGCCTTTCCAAGGGATACAGGAAGTAAAATGCTTCTTTTTTTCCCCTAACAATTCTTACTGGGATATAAGAAATACATTTTTTTTAAAGAAAAGAATCATAAGTTCATATTCTAATTCAACTTTAATATTACATCCATTCTACTTACTCTGAAAATCACTGTTCCTAAAAACTCTAGTATTCTTTTTACCTATAATATACAAGAATAGTTTGAAAGTACTATAATATTATCTGTATTTCAACTAGCAATAAGATTATTGACTAACGCTTAAGATATCCTTGTTGTTCTATTTATCCTGAGCATATATTCTATTATGATTGTACAGTGAAAACAATATTTTCTTTTTTTTTTTTTTTTTGAGACAGAGTCTTGCTCTGTCGCCCAGGCTGGAGTGCAGTGGCCAGATCTCAGTTCACTGCAAGCTCCGCCTCCCAGGTTCACGCCATTCTCCTGCCTCAGCCTCCCAAGTAGCTGGGACTACAGGCGCCCGCCACCACGCCCGGCTAGTGTTTTGTATTTTTTTTAGTAGAGATGGGGTTTCACTGTGTTAGCCAGGATGGTCTCGATCTCCTGACCTCGTGATCCACCCGTCTCGGCCTCCCAAAGTGCTGGGATTACAGGCTTGAGCCACTGTGCGTGGCCGAAAACAGTATTTTCTAAAGTAATTAAAGTGTTTACTTGGTATGGTTATGCCACCAACTTAATATACACTTAGCTTATTTGTTTTCAAATTTTAGGAATTGTAATTTTCTTTTGGATTTGAAATTATTTTGAAAATGTAAAACACATACATGATTCTAAAATCAAAACCATATAGCCAAGTTATATTCAGAGTAGTCTAGCTTCCATGCCTGTCTCCTCCACTTTTCCTCCTATTCCAAATATATGCAAATATGCATTTGTAGCTTAGCTATCTTACAAAAAAAAAGCACATCTACTGTTCTGCACTTTGGGTTTTTTCTTTTTACACTAATATATATTCTGATGATCATTTCACCTCGGTGTAAAGAAATGGCCCTCATTCTTTTTCACAATTGCATAGTTTCACTGTGTAGATTTACTCGAGTTTGTTCAACCAACTCTTACTTGGGGTTATCTGGATTGTTTCCAATCTTTTGGTATTACAAATAATACTGCAATGAATAAGCTTGTGCTTAAGTCATTTTATATTTTGGGATATTTTCCTAGAAGTGGGTTTCTAGGGCAGAGGGCAATATATATGTAATTTTGCTAGGGATTATCAAATTCCCTTCCATAGCTGCCGCGTACCATTTTGCATTCTCAATGCACTATGTGGCATCTCCATAGCCTGCTAACCAAGTAGGTGGTCAAACTTTTGGATTTTTGCCTCCTTTTATCATCTTGGCCCAAGATACACCACAATGCTTTCATCTGCCTTTGGAAGAACTCTCAGGGTAAACAATAGGTGATTGTATTGAGGTTGACAGAAGGAGGGTGGCTGCAATATCTCTATCTATTTCCACTCACCTAATCGTGGAAATACCAACGCCCACAGCATCACTATCCTTGTTAAGACCTTGTATTTTCCAAGGTTGGCTTGCATTTCCAGCCAAATAAAAGGACATCAAATATGACCTTACTCTTTTTAAGGTCAGTAGAATGCAGAGTGGCCAGTAAGTGAGTTCTACTGGTATAAGCTTCAGAATCCTGAAAAACATAGAGGAGGAATTGTGATCATTTTTGGTCAGCTTGCTGTCTCCAAAACAACTCCGATGCCAAGGGGAAGTCCCTGAGTGTGGCTGAAAGTTTCCATAGATTGTGGAGTGACCACTCTGTAACCTGCAGGGCTAGTCTCACCCAGGACTACCTCTTCTGCTGCTTTGTAGGAGTAAATGTCATGGATGGACACTGTTTTTTTCTTTCAGCATCTCCCATTTCCCAGTGGGCAATTCTGCACTCCAGGGGACAGACATTTGGTAATGTTTGGAGACATACCTGGTTGTCACAACTTGCAAAGGGGTGCTGCTAACATCTAGTAGGTAGAGGTCAGGAATGCTACTCAACACCGTACAATACTCAGGACTGCCCCCACTTCCCCCAGCAAAGAATTATCTGGTCCAAAATGCCAATAATGTCAAGGCTGAGAAATCCTGCTGTATTCTTTCTTTATGCACACATTCACAGACATCCTTGAAATAACTATTATCAGTGGCAGAGGAAGGGCAGAATCACAGATACTCCCCCTCCCTGTTCCTCCAAAAGTCACTAGCAATTCAGAAATTTCTTTAATCATAAAGACTCTAAGGAATAACATATTTATCTGGGAGATTAAAGAACAAATACCATTTTAACCTTCTAAAAACTGATTATCATTAAGTATAATGCAACCTTTTAACTGTAAGTATAAAGGAAAGTGCTGATTATTTAAAGTAAATGGGACCCAGAGTCCCATGAATAATCAAAAACTTGGTTAATAGAGTATGACCAGAGAATAATGCACTTGGCTTCTGTGGAGAAATTAAAGTACATGCTGTGAATTGCTACTGAGGAAATTGCATGAAAAGTTACCCTTAAGGTACCATGAGGCTGAAGAAACAGCCTCAGGTGCACAATGTATCACATTAGTCTCTATCTCTCTTTGTATTTTCATGACTTCTTTCACCTTGGATAACCCAGAAGCTCTGGCCTTGGAACTTTTTGGAATGGTAAAGTATCTCACTCTCCATATTTATTTTCATCTCCTGGAATGGTAAAGTATCTCACTCTCCATATTTATTTTCATCTCCTAACAGACCTGAATTTTGTTGCCAAGAGTTTATCTCTTTCACAGGAATTATTTTCAAACTTCAGCTTACTTACTTTGAGGGCATATACTGTGTTTAATACTTATAATCACAATTCACGTTAAATAAAATGTGTCCCTGAAAAGTTATACCTAAACTGAATTTTTGTAAAAAAATAAAAAATTTAAATCACAAGGAAAACTTGCCGAAGGAAGAGTATGAAGCTAAATCTTTTGTAGAAAGAATCATCTTGTTTTGCAAAGTGAACAACTACTCTTTGTTTTTAAGTCCCAATTTTTATTTGTAGCTCAAGAGGCTGGTACAGTATTATGCATATGCTCATTTAAAAAATACTGACAGGGGGCCGGGCGCGGTGGCTCAAGCCTGTAATCCCAGCACTTTGGGAGGCCGAGACGGGCGGATCACGAAGTCAGGAGATCGAGACCATCCTGGCTAACCCGGTGAAACCCCGTCTCTACTAAAAATATACAAAAAACTAGCCGGGCGAAGTGGCGGGCGCCTGTAGTCCCAGCTACGCGGGAGGCTGAGGCAGGAGAATGGCATAAACCCGGGAGGCGGAGCTTGCAGTGAGCTGAGATCCGGCCACTGCACTCCAGCCTGGGCGACAGAGCGAGACTCCGTCTCAAAAAAAAAAAAAAAAAAAATACTGACAGGCCGGGCACGGTAGCTCACACCTGTAATCCCAGCACTTTGGGATGCCGAAGTGGGCGGATCACCCGAAGTCAGGAGTTTGAGACCAGCTTGGTCAACATGGTGAAACCCTGTCTCTACTAAAAATACAAAAGTTAGCCAGGCATGGTGGCGGGCGCCTGTAGTTCCAGCCACCTGGGAGGCTGACACACAAGAATTGCTTGAACCTGGGAGGCAGATGTTGCAGTGAGCTGAGATCACGCCCCTGCACTCCAGCCTGGGCGACAGAGTTTTCAGACCCATCTCAAAAAACAAATAAAAAATAAAAATAAAATGCCATGAATTTGGAAGGATTTTGAAAGTTTTAGAGTTTTACAAACTATTTTTAAGAGTGGATAATATATCCTTTATTAAGAACGGTTATCACCTGTTTTAGGTGATAAGAAAGGAGGTAAGATCCTAGACACATTTGGGGGGGGAAAAAAAAAGGCAGCATTACTGAAAAGATAATCACATTGGCTGTTTCCTCTCAGCAATAAGGAGAAAAGAGTGGATGGGAGCCTATTATTTAGACAGTGTAATCTTTTGGTTAGAATACGGATTCTGAAACCAGATTGTCTGGGCTCACATCCCTGTGTAGTGTGGTCTTAGGCAACTTACACGACTCCACTGCACCTTAGTTTCCTCATACAAAACACGGAGAATACTAATATTATCTACTTAATGAGGCTGTTCTGAGGATTAAATAAAGTAATACATGAACTAGTATGTGAAAAGCATTCCAGTCAGCGATAGTCTTGATTCCTGGAGTTGAGCTCAGGCTAGGCATAAAGGGGAAGATAAGAGGCAGGGAGCAGGCACCGTTTCATTCTTCCTCTCCGCACCCTCAGGAAGGAGGCACCGCTGTTTCTCCCAGGACTCAGAGACGAGGCCGGTAATTCGAAGTTGGATGCGAGGACTTTCCTTGGGATCCCTTTCCGCCGCACCACGCCACTTTTCGTCTGGTTGGGCCGTGAGGGCAGGAGGGCTCAGCCCCACGCCCCAACTAGGCGTTCCACCACTGAGCCGTGGCCCCAGCTCCAGGAGGCAAGCAGCCCCAAGAGCCGCCTTCACGCCCGGCCACGGCCACTTCCAGGGGCTGGCGGCTATAGCGACGAAAGGCTTCCGGAAGGAACTGGTGCCTCCGCCCAACGCCCTTCCCTGCGGTCGAGCCAGGGTCTGACCCTTGTTCGTGACACCAATACTTATGCATGCGACTCAGTGCTGGGCGCCGGGGACTCTAATGAATCCAGACTCGGCCCACACGCTGTGTGCAAAGGGACCACTCGTCCCCCACAACTGATCCCTAACACCCGCGACCTTCGCTGGCCCAGAGCGGAGGGGTGGGAGGAGCCTCGCCTCGCCTCGCCTTCCCGGGTTCACCTCCAAAGCACCGCCCCTTCGGGGGCGTTATCGGGTACGCCGTAAAGTAGAGAGCATTCTTAACAACCCGCCTCCGTCTTTACGGCAGGCCGCATTCCATGCCTCCAATATGGCGTCCTCCGCATAGGCAGCGGCTGTGGTTTCTACCCCGGGTGGCCGGGGGCAGTGCTGAGCTGGGGCTGTTGTTTGCCCAGACTGGGCCGCAGAAAGCAGCAGTTAAAGTTCGTTTCTGGTCACTGCTCCAGGAAGCCACCCTCCTCTGAGGGTCAAGAATTGCCGCTTCCTTTTAGTTACTGCAAGTTCCTCCTCTGCCCCTGCGTTGTTTCCCGCGCCACCTCTGGATACCCCCAGGTCCCAGACCCTTCCAGACTCAAACCATGAACCTTCGGCAGCTGCTGTTGCACTTGCCCCGTTATCTCGGAGCCTCGGGTTCCCCGCGTCGCCTGTGGTGGTCCCCGTCCCTCGACACCATCTCCTCGGTGGGCTCTTGGCGTGGTCAGTCCTCCAAGTCCCCAGCCCACTGGAATCAGGTAGTGTCAGAGGCGGAGAAGATCGTGGGGTACCCCACGTCCTTCATGAGCCTTCGCTGCCTGCTGAGCGACGAGCTCAGCAACATCGCTATGCAGGTGCGGAAGCTGGTGGGCACTCAGCACCCTCTGCTTACCACAGCCAGGTGAGCTACCCCTCTCCCGCTGACACACTCGCACTCATTGGAATACTTTTTTTCTGGCAGGCACACGCATTCTACCTCTCTCAGACTGGCTCCTGGTTTATCTCTTTTTAGTCTTTCCTTTTTACTCAGTCCTCCTAGACATTCTATGTTGTCTCTTCTCTAGTCCACTTAACGTTATTGCTCAGCTGAGCGGATAAGTGGTTTTCTTTGAAACACTGTATGCTTTCCGCGATTTTGCTTCTTAATTGTTGAGGATGAAGATGCCTCAGCGATTTGTGGAGAAATCAAGCGGGGATGTATGTTTATTGAGTCACTTCCTAGAGATGGGGGTATTTTTAATTTTTTTTTTATTTTAATGGGCTAGATTAATTTTCTGTCCCGCACTGTTCAGGGGGTCACCTCTAGAAAGTAGGGAAGGAGAGAGAGAGAGAGGCTGAAGGTAGATAATTTATTTCCAACGAATGTCTTGGGGTTGAAGTAGGAATTTGTCCCGTTAGTAGTCATTATCTTCTTGGGATATTTATCACTTATGCTGTACTACTGCTGTGAAACCTGCCTTTAGGATTTATAAAGTTTTTTTTTTTTGGTTGTTTTTGTTTTTTGTTTGTTTGTTTGTTTTGAGACGGAGTCTCGGTCTGTCACCCAGGTTGGAGTAGCTGGGACTACAGGTGCCCGCCACCATGCCCGGCTAATTTTGTTTTTGTGTTCTTAGTAGAGACGGGGTTTCTCGATCTCCTGACCTCGTGATCCACTGGCCTCGGCCTCCCAGAGTGCTGGGATTACAGGCGTGAGCCACCGTGCCCAGCCAAAAGTTTTTTTTTTTTCTTCCGCTTAAAAAAACCCCACAACTTCTGATATGTAATTAGTTTAAACGTACAGCGAAGTTACAGAAATAATACAGTTCAAAGAACACACTTGCATACTCTTTAATCAGATTCACCTACTATGTAGATATATATGTCTATATATGTCAATATATTCATTAAATGCATAAACACACATATATATACTATTCACGTGTATATATCTTTCTATATGTTTTTTTCTGAATCGTTTGGTGGTAGATTGCATACATCATGATCCTTTTCCCCTAAATACTTCAGTATGTATTTCCTAAGCATAGCGGTAATCTACATAAGTACACTACAGTTACCAACTTAGGTATATTTAATATTGATACAATACTTTTATTTAATCTACCGTTTAATTTCAATTTTGTTAATTGGCCTAATAATGTTCTTTATAGCATTCTTTACCCTCCAGGACAGGATTCAGTCCAGAATCAAGTATTGCATTTAGTTGTTCTATCTCTTTCATCTTCTTCAATTAGGAACATTTTCATATCTCTTCTTGGCTTTTATGACTAGAGCACTGGTTCTCAACTGGGGCAATTTTCCCACCCTGGGGACATTTGGCATGTATGGAGACATTTTTGGTTGTCACAAATGGAGGCACATTACTAGCATTACTGGCATTTAGTGGATAGAGGCCAGGGATGCTACCCTTCAATTCCCAGGACAGACCCACAAGAAATAATTAGGTGCTGCAAAATGTCAATAATGCCAAGGTGGAGAAATCTAGGACTAAAAGGACCTGTTTCTGTTGTTGTTTTTTAAAAGTAAACTTCTATTTTGAAGTAGTTGTAGATTTACATGCAGTTCGAAGAAATAACACAAAGATATCTAATATACACCTAACCCTGTTTCTCCCAATGGTAACATCTTTTTAAACGATGGTGTAATAGCATAAGCAGGGTATTTATGTTGATACAGTTAAGATAAAGAACATTTTCCGCACTATAAGGATTCCTCATGTTGCTCTTTTTTAGCCACACTCACTTCCCTTACCCACCCCTTGCTTTAATTTTTTGAGGCACCTGTCATTTTCTTACTACAGAAGTTATCAAATAGTAATAATAAAGTGATTTTATTCCTTGGCATTGTTCCTAGTTATCAGGAACATCACCTTATGACTAGCTGGAATGTTAGTTTTCCAGAGATTCTAGATGATACACACTCAAAACACATACACACACAAGTATGTTTAAAGCTTAATGAAACGAATAAGCCTACTATTACCCAACTTAAGAACTATAACTTTACCAGTCCTGTTGAAGCTAAATGTGTACTCCTCAGTCCATCTCCCTGACTCCCACTAAACTGTTTTTAAACATTGTTCCTTTTCAAAATTACCATGGGTCCTGGTGTGGTGGCTCATGTCTGTGATCCCAGCACTTTGGGAGGCAAAGTAGAAAGATCGCTTGAGCCCAGGAGTTCGAGACCAGCCTGGGCAGCATAGCAAAACCCTATCTCTACAAAAAATAAAATAAATTAGTTGGGCGTGGGGGTGCACATCTGTAGTCCCAGCTACTTGGGAGAATTGCGATTGCTTGAGCTGGGAGGTCAAGGCTGTTGTGAGCCGTGATTGTGCCACTGCACTCCTGTTTGGGCAAGAGACCCTGTCTCAAAATGAAATAAATAAAATTACATTGTTATTTTTCTAAATAATAATGTTTCATTTTACTGGTTTCTTTGCAGTGTACAAATATGGTAGTTTATTACATATGGCCTTATGCGACTTCCTTTTTAAAATTCATGGTTTCTGAGATTCATCTGTGTGATGTGTTTGACTGTAGTTCATTAGATTTTCACTGGTGTATGAAATTCTGTTGTGTGAATATACCACAGTCATCTTTTATTTGTTTATTTATTTATTTTGAGACAGAGTTTCACTCTTGTTGCCCAGACTAGAGTGCAATGGCACAGTCTTGGCTCACTGCAACTTTGCCTCCCAGGTTCAAGCGATTCTCCTGCCTCAGCCTCCCAAGTAGCTCTCAAAAATTAGTCAGGCGCCTGCCATCATGCCTGGCTAATTTTTGTATTTTTAGTAGAGACAGGGTTTCACCATGTTGGCCAGGCTAGTCTCGAACTCCTGACCTCGTGATCCGCCCACCTCAGCCTCCCAAAGTGCTGGGATTATAGGCGTGAGCCACTGCGCTGGGCCTCACAGTCATCTTGTAATTAACATTTGGGTTGTTGCATTTCTTGGTATTATGAAAAATGCTGTTATAAATATGTTTGCCTATCCTTTGGTGTTCATGTCATGAGGATATAAAAACAGGAGTGTAATTGTTGAATGTGCACATGTTTATCTTTAGAATGCTTTCTAAAGTGAATGTACCAGTTTATACTCTCATAAACAACTTCTGAGTTCAGGTTACTCCTAGTTCTCATAACACGAGAACTAAGAGATTTCTTAATTTTTTTTTTTTTTTGAGACGGAGTCTTGCTCTATTGCCAGTCTGGAGTGCAGTGGCGTGATCTCGGCTCACTGCAACCTCTGGCTCCCTGGTTTAAGTGATTCTCCTGCCTCAGCCTCCCGAGTAGCTGGGATTGCAGGCACACGCCACCACACCCAGCTAATTTTTGTATTTTTAGTAGAGAAGGAGTTTCACCATGTTGGCCACAATGGTCTCGAGCTCTTGACCTCATGATCTGCTCACCTCGCCCTCCCAAAGTGTTGGAATTACAGGTGTGAGCCACTGCGCCTGGCCCAGGTTTCTTAGTTTTTGGTAATCCAGTAGGAGGTTTCTTTGTGTTTGATGGGAATGATAGTGTAAATGATAGGGGCTGTAGTATTGCATTGTGAGTATTGTAGTCCATAATAAAGCACAGAACTGAAAAGGGTGGAGCTAAAAAGAACCTTATTAATGTGTATATTATGAGAACTGTAGTTCATCTACATAGTTGCAAGAACATCAGATGAGGGTTTGGAGAAGATCTCTTCAGAGGCCACCAGAGGCACCCTAGATGAAAGTTTGTGAGACTAATGGTTCTAAAACTTTCCTAATTGTTGCCTAACCTGCCTTGTAGTACTATAGTACAGCGACAAAATTGGAAAGGCACAGAATAAGTAAGTTTTTGCAAAGTTGTTGTAGTAGGTATGAATTGCTGTATTTTGTAAGAAAAGAAAGAGCTAATCTGCATATAATTTTGTTCGATTTACCTACGATAATGTGTTGCACATTATTTAAACAGCCTAAAGTCATAGTCAGCCAATAAAGAAACTTTTGGGGTGTGGATCTATATCTGTATATATATGTGTATACACTGTACACAGGTATTTCAGCAAAGGAGCAGGCATTTGATCCAGAGGTTAAGCAGGTAATGATTATTGTAAATTATAACTAAAATCATGGATTAAGCAGCTGTATTTTTTTGTTTTTTATTTTTATTTTTTTGAGGCAGAGTCTTGCTTTGTTTCCCAGGCTGGAACCATTTATTTTTCAAATAAAGCTACATGGTATGTTAGGGGTGAATCATGTCTATCAGCCCTAAAATTTAGATGAATGGTGACTTTGTTAGCAAAAGCAGGAAAAAAAACGGAAACCACTGTAATTTGCTCTTCACTGATCTCTTTACCTAAGACATCTTGTCAAGAAAAGGGAAAAACAGCTTAGATGTGACATATACTCTTTAATTTAACACTAAATGAGAAATGAGATTAAAAATCCTGAGGTTTGGTGAGATAATGATTCTGTTACTAGGAATAGAGGAGCATTTAGCTCATTTTTACTCTTGTTCATCTAGATTTCCTAGGATCTCTCTGTTGTAATCTAATTATCTAATTATCTATAATTAGATAATCACCAATTAATTTACTAAATGTTTATTGAAACCTACGAAGTGATATAAAGAAGTCTAGACCAGCTGTGGTGGTTCATGCCTGCAATCCCAGAACTTTGGGAGGTCAAAGTGGGCAGATTGCTTGAGCTCAGGAATTTGAGACCAACCTGAGCAACATGGCGAAACCCCATCTCTACAAAAAATACAAATAATTATCCAGGTGTGCTGGTGCATGCCTGTGGTCTTAGCTACTTGGGAGGCTGAGCTGAGAGGATCCCTTAAGCCCAAGAGGTCGAGGCTGCAGTGAGCTGTGGTCATGCCACTGCACTCCATCCTGGGCAACGGAGTGATAGCCTATCTCAAAAAAAAAAAAAG